ATAGTGAAGAACTTTGCTCATTTCCCATCTGGAGCTCCATGTGTTATTGGAAGGAAGTTTCTTGAACGGAGGGACCTGTATTCGTTGCCATGCCCGTCAACGATGCTGAGGATTTGCACAGTTTCGCAACTTTCTTGTTTGCGGTCATGGCCACTCCACTGTATTGCTCAGAACTGCCTCAAAATTATATTTAAAAGGGAGACCATTGTGTTCTCTCTTCTGCATGCTGTTGTGTTGTAAGAGATGCAGTGGCCAGTTGTTCTTGTCATTGTGAAGCACTCGTGTAAAATGGTATGCTCATAAAAATGTTTTCTTTCTTTTGTAAGGTGGTCTCTACATCGTTGTTAAATTTCCTGAAAAAGATGACTCAGTGGCTATTGTTCATAAAAACTGGGTACATGAAGACTACTGCATGTGGCCTCCTGAAAGGAATAAAGTGCAGAGCCTGCTGAAAGCGGGAGCAACCCCAGGGCCTGACTGGATACCAGTGCCCTGCACTGCAGTAAAGGCATATGGTAATACAATTATGTACATGGGCTTTCATGGTAATTTAGGCACCTGTTGCTGTCGATGTCAAACTACATTTATGCGCAATTTAGACTAAGTAGATCAACAGAACTTTTTTCATGTACATACGAAGAAGCACGACAAAGGTTGAGGAAGGCGGAAGACACGGGTGACTTACAATGCGAAGTGGATCTCGGAAGCGGGAAACGAAAAAGAAAGACAAAACGAGTGTACAGCTCAGAAGATGAGGACGACTTGCAATCCCCATCACCACCGCGGTCAATTTTTAGAAGTATATTGTACATTATTTCTGCACTTGCAACTTCCCGTTAGATGTATTGGGTTAGCTAGGTAATTTTTTAACCGGTATATTTATTCCATACACTTGAATACTTGATGTCCCACAGACCATTCGAGAGACTACAGGTTGGGCACGAGAAGGCCATTGGATGTGCTTCATTCCCAGCTGTCCAGACACAATGGTACGCTTCCCGAAAATCTTTGTGAGGCATAAATATGAAATATTTAGCATACAAGCCAAATCTACAGGACAAACAATGTAGCAGTCTATTTCTATGAACAGCATGTTGCACGCTTATATCCCTCTTGTACACACAGTTGTTCACAGTTGCATATATAGTGTTGCAGCATGTGTGTCGCTGTCACTAGCAGGGCAGCGACAGCATGTGTAGAATTCTAATGCTTTTTCACTTCAGTGGTTGATGACAGTATGCACCTTTCCATTTGCGTTTCCCATAATGTGTATTGATGTTACAACCAATGTTGGTTCCCAGAGAGTGCCACATTATTTACCAATAAGCGAAATTGTGAATTGGATTCGTCACTATTTGAAATGTCGCACACTTTTCTGCAGAAGGAAGTGGTGATGAGGGGTGGGAAGGCACCCGTCACTCTAAAACCCCTGGTCGTTCGATTCCAAGCCCACGTCAGTTGGACGAGACTTGTGTACAGGGCTATTTATCTATTTGCCACGTAAGTTCCCTAGTAGCACCATATGTTGCCATAACGTAACTGGAATGTCACAAATGTAATGTAACGTTGGGGCACATTTGGGTATGTTATAGCAATGTTTGAAAACTAACGTAACAGAAACGTTCTCCTGTAACATTGTTTGAATGTCACTGAACGTCATGTAACGTTACATCACATAGGTAAACGTTCCAGGAATGTTAGAGAAGCAACATTGGAGCAACGTTTAGAAATAACCTCTTGGTAACATTTCCATCCTGACATACGGGCAATGTTATGCAGCGATGTTGGCCTAATGTGACGAAATGTGACGCATCACCACATCACACAGAGGCTGGTCAAGGATACACGAAGATACCAAACTTATAATAGTTCAATGTTGATTCTCTTGTTCAAACATTTTTATTTTTTTACAAACAGAAAGACCGCTCTAATGCTTGTGACGGGCGTGTTTGAAACAAATGTTCAAAATGTACCCTGGAAAGATTGCAGAAAATTAAAAAAATATCTGTCCAAAAGGTTTATGATAAAATTGAATTCATTTGTGTGTATGGCATTTCCTTGCTTCCAATATTCACGAGCTAGCATGCACCCTCATCATAGCTTTTTAGGTTAAGGTCATTCGAATGTCCAGCTTTTGGAACGCATGCTAAAGATAACAAGAGGGTGAAGTCATTGGGTGTTATTGTGTTATCAAAGGTGGAAAACTCGCGCTGGTGACGCGACGACCCAAAGACCTCCCGAACATGTATAGGATGGCATGAGAGTCGTAGCCTGTAAATTAATTTGGAACATGTAGCTAGCTAAAATTATCACCAAAAGTGTATTTTAGTTGTGTGCTCTATTGCATTATTTTCGAAGCGTAGCTCTGTTTCTGTGAAAAATACGAACATGATTACCCTACGGCCAGGTCGCAGAGAGCTCTTGGGGTCGACCGACTGCTCTATCCGACCCGAGCTTGCTGCAAAATGATTTCTACTATTTAAAATAGAAGCGAGGACTAATTTCACGACGGACTCGGGTCAAATCGAGCGACTGGGTGGTTCTTACTCTCGCCCTGTCTAGGTTGTCTGCGCCAGTGCTTGCCATAGAGATTTAGAGAAATCTTGGAGCGTGCAGTATAAGATACACCCTGGTTGAAAATTTGAAATAGTTACATGCAGAAGCTCATATTTCAGTCCAATTTACAGCTCAGCACTCTATTCGGAAAACTCAAAAAGTGGCGGCTCATTGCAGCACACTGCAAGTGAGACGACTGGCGGTAGCCATTGTCTCATAGACAGAGGAGGGGAAAAGGGAGACGGTTGAGGGGGAAGGTGAGCGATGAGATGGGAAGGACAATAGAGGCAGGAAGAAAGAGGTCAAGTATGAAGTTCGGAGTCTAACAACACATGCTCACACAAGGAAGAGAGGAGACAAAAGGAAAAGGGGAATGAGGATGAGAGGCTGAGGGAGCATGAAGAGAAAGATGAAGAGAAGTGGGGCAGGGAGGAGCAAGATCAGAGGGAGGAGAGAGGAAAGAGGGGAGGAAGAGCACACAGAGGGAATATGAGACCAATGGGGGAGAAGGAGTGGAGGGGAATGAGGAGATGGGACGGGGTGGGGCCAGGTAAGACGTAAAACATCGCAGGTCATAGGCCTCGGTTGCATCAGGGGTGGAACTCATGAAATGTGCTTGGGAGCAGCCACGGGAGCAGCTAAAACAGCTGTTTTGGAGCAGGTTGGGAGCAGCTAAAACTACACTCTGGAGCAGGCTAGGAGCAGCTCAAATCAGTTTTCATTGCACTCCAGCTTATGTCTTAGACAAGCACGGGAGCAATTTCAGTTGTGCTTAGCAGCCCAGATAAACATGAGTGGTTAGGGACCTAGGCAGATGGGATAACAGTGTAACAGATGCGAAAAATTGGAACTTTGTGAGCCTTGATATTTTCCGAGTGGCTTTCAGCTGCTCAAAATGCAAACCAGCACCGCTTATCGCACAGTCCACACGTCCTCGACAGAGTGATTTTATGTGCGAACCACGTGACATGCGTAAGCAACGGACGTGCAGTTGCGCGGAAGAACAGGGAAACAAATTTCGAGTTTCTCATATTGCGCAACTCAATATCGCAACAAAATTCGAGTTTATCCTATTGTGCAACTCAATATCGAAGCAGCAGACTACGATTAACGGAGTTATCGTATTCGAAGCGATAAGCAGGAGCAAGGTAATGCCGAGCAGATCGACCGCTCGCGTGAGAGCTGCTGGCCGGCAAGGTTTCGGATCGGACTGCGTTTCAGATCTATCAAATCACGATTTATCTTGCAGGAATGCGGTTCCAACTTCTAACGATGAAGTGCTAGAAGGAATCTTTTGCTCATTTGTTTTCAACTGACTGGCGTCCGGATCCCGGGCTGCGGAGCCTCAGGCAATCTGACGCTTAACGACTCGACCTCACCTCGACCGACTTGTTTAACCGCTTATGGTTGAAGAATAACAATCCAGAGGCAGATGGTGTAGCGCTTGGAATCCGAACCCCGAATTTTTTTCGCACACTTCCTACTCGGGATACACAGGGAGAATAAAGAGAAAAAAAGGATTGCAAGGCCGACCAAGCTAAACGCGATCATTGTTGCCAATCGAGTCGATAGAAACCGAAACCAAGACAAAATACAATTTTTTTGGCGCACGTTTTCCAATTTGGTGCATAATGGCGCGAGGTATTGGCTGTGGCGCAGTTTCCGAAACATGGCGCAGGATGGCGCAGACAAATGCGTCTGGCGCAAAATGGCGCAAATGGCGCAGCCGTTCCACCCCTGTTGCATGGACACAAGATCACACCTCCCCGACCACTCAAAATGAAGAGCCATATGCAGCTGCCACCAAAAAGAAAAGGTCAAAGGCCATGAACATAGAATCACTCAAACGAGAGAGAAGGGGGAAGAGGGGAGGAAAGATGAGTAGGATGGGTAGCAGGAAGAGGAAGGTGGACAAGAGAGTAGAGGAAGAGGGGAGGGAGGAATAAGGAGACCGAGGAGATAGAAGGGGAGATGGCGAGGAGGAGCAGTCAAGGGTCCGAAGTCGAGATCAAAGGTCAAAGGCAACGAACATATAATCCTATGAAGGTGGGGAAGGGGGGGCCACAAACATTAAATCATGCGAGGAAATGAGGAGTGAAAGGTTAGAAAAGGCAACATAGGAGAGATGGGACGGGAATGGGGTGAGAATAAAGAAAAGTGAGTGAGAGGGGGGGGGGGGGGGGGGGGGGAGGGGCAGGTAGGAAGGAGATCTAGCATCAAGGGCCACGGATACAAGGACGCACTCCGCCGACCACTCAAAATGAAGGGCCCCAAGGGGGGAGGCACTCACTTTATCAAGTGACGTGTTAGCGAATGTCCACGTTTCACCGAATGACACTTTAGCGAAAATTCGGACGCTGCGAAGCGGCGTTCTCGGGTGGGCCAAGTGGGTTCACATTTTTGTAATGAGCCGCCGCAGACTCGCCGCGCGGCGGATGGGTTAACGCGCGCCCCCGTTATTCGCTAAAACGTCGATTCGCTCAAATGCCGCTGTTCGCTAAAACGTCATTCGCTCATCTAATATGGACCCTAATTATAATGAAACGAGTATAATCGCACACACATTGTTAGCCCCCGTTCACTTCTCGCCAAAGAGCCGTCGACACGAGAACATATTTGAGCTTGAGGCTTCGAAGCTCGCTCTGCGTGGACCACTCTTTGCCTACATTTGTTATCTGGACACATCACAATGGCACAGCACAGTCGCATAGCCACGGTACTACCGTTTCGATGTTAACAGTTCACTATCGTTACCGATATTACGGTCGAGGTCATCCACTGATCACTGCAAGACGTTGCAAGATCGCCATCGTCCGCCATGATTGCACACTAGTACGGCATCACGGTTATGGCTGTACGGCTTATACCAATTTCCAATTTCTCCAATCGATGTAATGTTTTATAACTCTTAAAAAAAACTTATTTTAGTACTGTCAGACAGATTTCCACAGTTTATTCCTACTTGAAACTTCATGTTTAGTCGTTTACTCGTTTACGCACACTGTTGACAAGCCAAGACGCCAAGAGTGCAAGTAGCTCAAGCCAAGCAAGGTCGAAGCCAGGTTGACCACGTGACCGTATGTCAACGGACCGTCAAGGCCTGTTTCATCGGACCGCTCTGCCGATCTCTCGGCGTGGAGGAAACGTAAACAAAGGTATGTTTCATTTTCGTTGTTGTTACTTCTTGTGCTGAACAATGGAGCGGGCGAAGCGTTCGCTATCAGAGCTATCCGATCGCCAAAAAAGACATAGAGTAGCCGAAAGTGTTCGCAAGGAACTTGAAAGTTGCGGTACGAGCAGTGAGGAGTCGGTGGACACTGAGGTGTTTAGTAGCAGTTCGTACCACATCTCCAAACTTCTGTAATGGACAGGGAATTTAAAACCTGGAAAAGCTGGGGAACTTAGAAGGAGGAATTTGCTAGACACCCTGGCTGATTTCATAGTTACCGATGTCTGCCAAGTTATGCTGAAGTAGGGCATGAAATTGTCGATATTTCACTGTGGTAGCTGACGTTGTGTTGTAATTATATACTTTTGAAACAGGAGCTGTGCGCACCTGCTTTAAACAGAAGGCAGAAAACAATGAGCCAGCCATCATCGTGCAGGAAGCCGACGCCAAATGGGCTGCTGCTGAATCGGTCAGGCATGCACCAGCTAGGACCAAGAAAATGGTAATATGATATTTCTAATTTTGCTTAAACTCCCGAAAAATACTTTTGCATCCTAAAACAAGCCCAGATTTCAAACAAAGGCATTAGTCCACTTTACATAAAGACATTTTTAAGTATTAAGAAATTTATTTAGCCAATGAAAGAACACCAGGTTATGACATCGTCTGCAATGAGCTTGACATTGTAGAAAATATGATGCTCATTGACATTGCCCCTGGGTCCGGACAGTTCATCAAACGCCGTTTCATTGAACATTGTTTCATCGAAGCTGTTTCATTGAACACAGTTTTATCGAACGCTGTTTCATTGAACGCCATTTCATTGAAGTTGTTTCATTGAACGTAGCTTATTTGAGCAGTAGAAATATTTTTCTTTTTAGTGCCGGGAGGATAGCAGTGTTTTAATATTTATTGTAACTTATAAACTTATATATTTATAAAAGGAAGGAACCTTTTTTTGTCACCTTCTATTCTTTTTTTTTTAGTAAATTATGACTTCTGTTAATGAGGCCAATAAGACACGGTAACACTAACGACACTTTTAAAAGCTGTGATCATCAGGTGCAGTGATGAATGCACATCCATTCAAAAGCGTATACGGTATATATCTTCATCCTTGAAGAGACCTATTCTGCTTCAAGATGAAGCCATCCTTGAGGCAGTGATCTGTCTCCGTGGCCCATGATACGGGGAAAAGAAAAGACGTGTCTCCTCTCTTTGTTAATTTATTATAATCGACAGAACCGTGGACCTGCCGGATATTCGACATACAGTAATATACTGCATGTCAAAGATCCGACAGGTCCACGGTTCTGTCGGTTACAAAAAATTGACGAAGAGGGCAGGCACGTCTTTTTTAAGAACATCTATGTTCTTAAAAAGAAAGCTATTCTCTTAGGATAAAATGAAAACAAAGTTAAATCTACAAATACAAAATAAAAAAGGCGCTGCGGAAAATAGCTGTTTCCCTCTTAAGAAAGTGCCTTTCACGCATGAATAAATAGAAGGTTGAAGTGGGAAAAAGTGAGTGGCCGAGAACAGCCGCCTACCTTGCCAGAAAAGAATAAGTCGCGTATCCACTGTCTTCTGTGGGTAGGTCACACTTTGCGGTAAAAGTCTAAACTGGATGAAAAGAATGGCTTGTGCATGCAAAGAAACTGTGGTGAAACTGCTAGGACAGATGTAGGCATTTCTTTTTTTTATCTTGATGACACTCTTTGCCCTGAAATAGGCACCCATTTTCTGAATGCAACCAACTTTTTTGTGTTATTTTTTTGCAGGAGCAGTGTGCCTCTTCTCAGGAGTGACTGAGGGGCTGCCACAAGGGGAGAAGGCAAGCATGTTTCTGATTACAAGGATGGACAGTTGGGCTGGGCTAGTTGGTAAGAATTCATGTTGAGAAACGGTGCGAAAACCAGACAAAGGAAACAGAACACACAGTACCTTGTCCTGTGTGTTTTCTTATCCGTGCATTTTGCGCTGTTTTTCAGCATGTTTCTGCCTTGATTTTTCTGTTAGTTTTAAATGTTAGTAGTTGGTTACTTTGATCCCAGTTGGGAGCATGGAATTGGTTAACCGTGCTAAATGCATAGAATTGAAAAAAAAAAAAAAAAATTCATGCTTTCTAAATCATTTAAAATGCTTTTTTTCCTAATGATTTCTTTCTCTTTTTTTACAGCCATCCCATGAGTAGAGTCCCTGTTGTTTGAATTTTTTATGTCAATTTGTAATATGCATATGTTACCTTTAATTTCTATGCATGCATACATTTTAGCCCCAGCTAGTGGTTTCTTTTATTTAATTTATGTACACATTAGTGTGGTATTTTTAGAAGATTTAAAATTTATGTTCTTTTTCTAGTCATTTTTGGTTTATTGCCTCAGTTATTTATTTATATGTCCTAGCCCAAGATCGGGTGTAATTTGAGATATATTTAGAATTTTATTTTAGGCTACTTGCTTTATGTTACTGGGAGTTTTAATATTTTACATTTTTATTTTTATGCAGATCAGCCTTGTAATTTAGTGTGTTCTTTACAATTTTGTAGATCTAATAGCTTGTAAGAAACAGAAGAATTCTCTGGTACTTGTAATGTTGGTTTCGTTTTTGAAATAAATTTATTCCAATAACTTCTTGTTTTCTTCCGGAGTCCTGCTTCTAGGATTTCAAAATTCTGATTCATTAATGGCCTGTAATGCACATCCATTTACTCATATCAGGCACCTGCTCAAAAAATGACTTCATGACAACCATAAATGCAGTTTCCTGGCAGCGCTTGTCAATGTATTTTCGGATAACATTGTTCAGTAATGTCCAAGTAACACATGCAGTAATATCTGGCCAGTGCCAGCATATTGTAAAAACGTTTACTGAAAGTTGACAGAATAAAAGCACTGAGGAAAAACAGATGACCGCTCTTTCATTTAGTTACGACGCTCGTTTTTTGGAAGCAAAGACTCGCGCACAGGTCAAGATTAACTGCAAAAGGAAGGCTTGATCAAAGGAACTTTAGGGAGATAAGGGATGAGTCAGTAACACTCCACCTTCGGTATCTAGTTGATCTCGACCTGTATGCGACTCTTTGCTCCTCAAAAAATAAACGTTGTTGCGAAATAAAAGAGTGGTCGTTTGTGTATGTTCTTCACATTTTTATTCCTTCACTTTTAAGTAAGCCGTAATGTCAGTGCAACATTTTGGTGTAACATTACTGGATGGTAGAATTCGTGGCCATTAACAACAACTAGCAACGTTAGCGACGACGTCCTAGTAACATCACTGATCTAGCATCCAGGTAACATAGAGAGCTATGTTACTGCAACATTTTGATGTGACGTTACTGGAAGGTAGAACTGGTGGCCATTAGCAACGTTTGGCAACGTTATCTAACAACGTTCCAGTAACGTTATTTGGGTAATGTCCAGGTAACGTATGCAGTTACGTTACTGTAACATTGTGGTGTAACGTTACTGGAGTGTAGAATCCGCGGTTGTTAGCAGCGTTCGGCAACGTTACCTGACAACATTCCAGTAACGTTGTAGCCACATTTTGTGCTACTTGGGTTATGGCGTGCATGCTCTCATTGTATGACAGGATATACAGAGTACAGTTCCAGCTGTCCAAGACCGGTGTCCAAGCTTCCAAGTGTACGAAGGGCACCACGTAAGTAGAGTGGTTTAGTCGCATTCTCAAAGCTTACTTCCAGAAGTTAAATTAACTGATGATGACAATGTCCGCCTTTACACCTACGTTTCCCATATTGCATATTGGTGTTTGCTTGATGCTACAACCGATGTTGGTCCCCAGAATGTGGCGCATTATTTACCAGTAAGCTACAGTGTTGATTGGAATTGTTGCGCACATCTCTGCAACTGGAAGTGGTAACAACAGATCGGAAAACACCCAGCTGTCTACAAGCCCTGGTCTATCAATTCCAAGCCCACGTGAGTTAAATGAGACTTGTGTACATGGTTATTTATCTATTTGCCAAGAAGTTATGGCGCGCGTGGCATGCATGCTCTCACTCTATAATAGGATATCCAGAGTACCCTTCCAGCTGGCCACGACCGGGATCCCAGCTTCGAAGTATACGAAGGGCACCACGTAAGTAAAGTGGTTTTGTCGCATTCTCAAAGCTTACTTTCAGAAGTGAAATTAAGCAGCTTTGCTTTCAAATAGGCTCAGAGCCCCATGGCAGCCGTGGGGTTCAGAACGCCACAATCTGTTCCCCACCCGTGACACTGTCAAGGCCTGAGACTAGTCATTTCCGGCCGGGTAAGCTTTTAAGAATGTGATTTTCGATTGGTTTATTTATGCCTTGATGGCTTGCAGCACCCCGAGCAAGGTCTGACGAGAGACTTCACACTTCATGCCCTTCAGCTGCCAGCACTTCCAGACTTTCTGGTAAGCATGGGGAAAGTTACTCTTAGTTGATACTTGAAAACTCTAATTTCTGAAAACTTGGTCCATCCTGTCTGCTTATTATTGCATGTTGCCTAAAAGAGGATGAATAACAACTTCATGTGATTCATATCTTAAATATGTTTTGTTCTTTACAAATCTTCAAAGTTTGAACAACAAGTCACGAGGACACTGCACACAATACAGATGAGGGTAGTACACCAAGGGGGGCAATTGGATGGGATCGCATGACTGCTATGCAATTGTGTCCCTCGGGCTTTAAGTGCAGAGGAGGAAGTTTTAAGAAGCCGTTCGCCGACTTGGAGGCATTTCTGGAGTTTGACTCTAGTCTATCTTCGGATGAAAGGAAAAGAACGCTTCTGGTGTGAAGGATTCTCAATCCTGTTATGTTTTCTAACCTTTGACTTAAAAAGAGCGTCCATGTGATCCAATATATTCTTTTTAGCTGCATCAGTTCACTGGCCTCGGTGGAAGATTGATGGGGTCTGCTACCAGGAACATCTTGGAGGTCCTGCTTAGCCAGAAAGTGGCTGTAAATTTCAGCTGGTTAGGCCAGAAAGTCAAAGAAAAGTTTCGGGATCTCAATGTGGCAGACATCATTTAGAGTAAGACACTTTTGTTTGTCGTGTGCGAGTCATCTAATTTATGCACTAAACTAGTTATGTAAAATATTGCACAAGGGCCTTGTCGGGTTCAGAGCTAGCGTCAAATGCAGATTGCATTGAATGTCCTTTCCCTGATGGTAAAAATTATGTAAGACTGATTTTACATGAAAACCGACAAACTAACTTGACTCGGGACTGGGAGAATGATACAATTTTAGAACATAGTTCTGTCTAAATAGGTGAAAATTTTGCTGTGTGGGTCAGATAGCTATGTATCGTTGTGCGTTAGCACTAAGGGACATAATTTCTGGAACATCTATTTTTATTGACATTAATTGTGATTTTTTTCTAGACCATCTTAGTTTTCTGCTGTGACTGTCATCACAAATCAATGTTTCAGGGGCAGTGAAATCAACTGTTGAGTCTGCAAAGCTGACGTGGAGACCATCATCAAAGTGTGGCTGCGCCACGCTGGAGAAAAACTGAAAAAGCTGCAATCAAAAGCCAGAGATGTTCAACATGATGGTATTAGGTTTCTCACATGACCTGTTTTTATTAATAATGATTATGGAATTGATTCTTTTTTCTAGATCCCGCTGACTATTCACACTAGTGCTGCCAAGATACGAAGCCAGACTGCATGTCTCGTGCAGACATTGCAAAAAGTCATATGTAACATTTGCTCTCCAATAAAGTATTTCTTGAACAGTTACCTTTGTTTGCAATAATGAATGGCATGATCATGCTCATAGTTACAGGCTAAGACCACCAGGCAAGGAAAGATGCAGAGGAGAAAGCAGACGGGATGCTGGAGGGAAGAGGTTTTTTTCTCTCCTCTTCAGCATTCCGTCAGCTTTCTTCCCCCTTTCCCTTGCCCTGTGTTCTTAACCTCTCACTGACTAGTAATCTAGAATTAGTGTGTGAATTTGACTTTAAAATAGTACACACCAATGAATTACTTTCTGCAGGCGGCTCTTGCAGGCATGTTCAGGTGCAAAATCCAGTTGGAGAAAAGCTAAAAACAATAAAAATGAAAGCATCCTAACAGCTCAGTGAACAGCTGCACCTGCAGTGCATTGTCCTAAAAATGTACTAGAAAAATCCTTGGCTGCCAGCTCCTGAGGACGTTCTGAGGATGTCCTGAGGCCGGACAATAGGACGTTTTTAGGGTGGCTCCAGGATCATTTGAGGACATCCTCAGGACATCACAATGTCCTCAAAAGGTTGTCCTGAGGACATCCTGGGCATGTCCAAGTGTTGTCTGGGTCCTCTACGATACCAATAGTATTACGAAGCAAAAAAGCGCAGCCCCCAGAGTAACCTACAGAATGATAAACACAAACGCTGAATCGGGCTCTAAACGCCTGTACTATTTGGTCTGTCTGCTCAACGCTTTCAACTTTTGTTTCCTGTACTGCAATGATATCAATATTGTTTTCTAGTAGGAGTCGGCTAAGTTGGTTCTGCCTCCTCCGTGCTGCTAGGCCTCCCATGTTTAGCGTGGCTACGCGAAGAGCAGATTCGAGGGTGAGTGCCACCTCATCTAGATCAGGCTTAACCCATAGCGCCCGTAGAAGCGACTAAGCCCTTCTACGGCCTAGTCCCTGCCGGCGCATCGTCTGCCTTGTCGACAGCTTGGGACACGTTGGCACTGCTAGCAGGTGTTAGTTTGAGTGCGGGACCCCGCTCTTCTTTGCTGTTGCTGCTTCCACCACCACCAGCAAGGTTGGGCAAGGTGAGCGTCGCCTCACTTGGTGGCTCGTCCGCCCCTCCTCCGGCGACTTCCTCGGCGTCAGCCGCATGATGTTCCGACGGGTCGTTACCTCCCACAGTCTCAGCGACACTCACGTATGTCTTACGCACTGGCCCTCGTCATGGCCGAAGCACAGCGCGGCACTCCACACTCTCGCTTTACGATAGCGTTTGGGAGCTCGTGTCGCAGAAAATCCGGCGTTGGCGTCGGTGGGACCAATAAATCCCATATCGCAACGCGCGCAGCCACGTGCGTCACACGTGGTTGCGCGTATTGCATTATGAAATTTACCCGCTAAATCTGGCAGGGAAGTTTTCCTGCCGAATTTTGCAAAACATGTTCACGACAAATTTAGCGGGAAATTTTCCTGTCAAATTTAGCAGAACATTTTCCCGCCACTTTTGGCGGGTCAATAAGGTCATGAAGTCACAGCCACGTGTGACGTCATGTGACATGTGACGCTACCGACTAGAGCACGCTTGCACAACTAGGCTACGAGCACGTGTTTATGAGGGCTTTGCAAACGGGATCCGATAATGCTAACGCGTTCCACTCTTAAAGGTGAAGATTAAGCGTCCCCAAAGTTTTTTTTTTTTCATTGTTGCCGGGAAAGACTTTTACTTCAAAAAACGCGGTGAGGGCCAAAATTGAAAATTTAATAACTTCGCAAATTTTTTTAGAGCGCAGCCCTAAGGTGCCCGTTTTCAGCTTGAGCAGCATTCGCCGTCGCCGTCGGCGTAACCGCGTGTTGCATTACAAGACGTGTTTCCCATAATGACGTCACACGGCGCCTAAATTTTGCGGGAAATTTTTTCGCTAAATTTAACGAGGAAATTTCTCAGCAAATTTTTTCCACTAGATTTAGCGGGGAAATCTTCCCACATAACTAAGCGGGAACATTTTCCCGCCAAATTTAGCGAGGAAATTTCCCGGCTAAATTTAGCGGGGAATTTACGGGGAAATTGTCCCACAATTTCCCGGTACCACAATTTCCCGGTAAAACCCCCCTTCTTACACTTCCCTCCCCTCCGTACCTTTCCCCCCCCCCCCCCCTCCTCTAGAGCTGCGCTCTAATTCGGCATTACAGAGAACTGTAAACGTTTTCCACCTTTTTTTTTTTAATTTTGTCCAATATTTCGGTTACTATTTCAGCAATGTTTGTTGGCGTGTTTAGCAAATTTTCAGGCAAATCCGGAACTATGAAGTACTCCTTTAAAGGGATAGTGCAACGAAATTTCGGCGCTTGTTTTTTGGTCTATGTGTGTTCAAAGGAGCAGTATTACATCGGACATACCAATATCTTGTAAAGTAGTACTTTAAGTACAATTGTACTGCAAGTGCTTCCCAACAGTATATTAGGGTAATAGTAGTTTGGCTCGTTTGATATAATTGATATGCAATTCCCTCGGTGGACTTGGAGCGCCCCAAAAGGGCCTGAAGCTCGCATCTTTAGTGTGGTAGATGCAAACGCATGCTTGCACGCCCAAAAAGATACCCACAAAAAAGTGTTTTAAAACCGCTCCCAATCCACCAAAAATTCTCCTTGGCAGATTAGTCCAGCACTGCTGGCGATGAGCATTAGAGATATGGAGTCGGGACGCATCAGGTGATATCGTTTAGCTCTGTTGTGGATCGTTTTCACCTTTCTAGAGGACGGAAACCAGTTTTGTGCGGTTTCAGATGAAACTGTGCTTGCAACAATGATTTTATGCACTGCTGAAATATTGTAACTCTCTTATTTTCTCTCTCTCTCTCTCTCGCTCTCCTCCTCCTCCCCCCCCCCCCCCCCCATTTCTCAGCGTACTAAACATATATACTCACAAGCCAAAATATACGACACCTAAAAACAGAATTAGTCTTAAATTCACTGTAGCTTACCTTTCTTTGGGTATGAGATATCAGATAAGATAACCCATTGCTGGGTGATCTGGATCTATAGAACACACAATTGGTTCGTTCTCGTCTGTTTCCATCTGTATCGCTTTTCTAAAACGTCGACTCCTTCGAGACCCGGTGACTGAAGGACATATAAGTTCTACCTGAAAACGGCTGTGCTCGAAGCATACTTTATTGTATTTATTATTTTTCATCGAGCGATCTGCTCGCCATCATCTGTGTTCTGGCCCGCGACATTGCACAGGCTATATCACAAATCCGGTCCGCAGTACGGGGGAGGTTACCGCGGATCCAGCCCGCAGTCTGAAAGGGTTCAGGAACACCCCGTCTTTGAGCTCCGGCTACCATGGAGTGCACGGGGGTTTGCAGCTCTGGATGTATGTCTCTATCTCGCCGGTGGACGCTCGCATCAAGGCCGTGTACACCGTTAGCTGTGGAACAAACAAACAAACAAAAAAAGTCGTAATAGAGGGCCCACAATTTCGGGGGAGGAAAGTTAAATGTAAGCTGTTGTTGATGCTGCTTTTTTGTCTTTGTTATTTCTGTTCAAAAACTAGGTTGTGAAAACATGGGCACAAACATGTTTCTTTGCTCTACATCAGCTACGAATCATTAGGCCAATCAAGCAAAACCAAAAATGCAAACGTCATGGCGCTCGTCATCTTTCAGTGCGTACCAGCTAAAGCGATCAAGCCCAGGGCATGCACCTCGCGCTTCTGGTATGTGTGTGTGCTTTTGATTTCTTTTTGACTACAGGTAAAAGGAAAGAGATATCCCAAGTACAAAAACATTTCACAATTCCTCTAGGGAACCTGGCAGGTTAGCAATAAGGTGCCGATAAAACGTTCAAATCTTACCAGGTTAAGAACAGGTTGAGTTGATAGGACGTCAAAGAGTCCTTTGAAACCAAGGGCCTGAGGTAAAGAAAGAAAAAAAAAAGACAAACAGATTCAGTCACGTTCGATGCGGAAGACATGACGTTGCCACCTATGCTCGGCTTCACAATAATTACGTGGCTTGAAATCCACGAGTGCTTCAAACACTTGCATTTGTCTGTGACCCTGTGCGCTGTGCTCGCTTGTGACCACTTACAACTAGGCTGTGCACTTTCTGGTTTTAATCAAAAAAACAGTGATAAACATCTGCCGGTGACGAAAATACAAAATCGGTTAAAATCGAAAAACACCGGTAGTTCAATATTATCACTCTGATTAAAACCTAAATACACCAGTCCTTGAATGTTTCCTCCCTAGCGATGGCTATTTTCTTCGAGACTCCTTCCCCTTACAAAGGTTCGTCAAACGTGTTGTCTCGTGGATCCTAAGTCGTTTCGGACGGTTACCGGACATTTTATCGATTGCCCTCTTCGTTGAAGAAGTAAACATTTTATTTAATGTCCTTTCATCGAATCACTCAATGCATTTCATCAAATTTCACTTTATTGAATTTTAGAGCATCACTCTCGCTTCTGAGTTGATTTCATTCTGCCATCAAATCGCAAGAAATAAAATTACTACCCTGGTCACGTTTTCCCGAAACGTTTGGTTACCGAGTGGCATGACAAAGCTGGAGTGGGTCCGCAAATTACTGCTTTCCGGTAAAAGTGGCTGCATTTGTTCACGCATGAAAGGTACATCCGGAAAGGAATACAGAATATTTCACGAAAAGTGGACAAATTCGATATTGTGAAAACTACTCATCACAACAAAAAAGGCTTGTTTCCTTTTGGTCCTGGGCCAGGGGCCTATTTAGAAAAATTATTAATGTCCGAGATAATTAGATTTTTAATGTGTTTAAGGGCAAGGCTTCAATTAGAAAATTGCTCAGCATCATCGAAAAACACTATATCAATAAATTGCAGAACGATAGAAGGCATGCGCAGCACTTTACGGCTTTCTAAAAAAACGCAGATTCAACGGGTATTTAAGTTTCGGTTTGCAATCGGAGCGCAGCTCGGCCCCGGCGGCACCGCGCCCCATGGAGCAATCATAAAACCAACCTTTGCTGCGCTGTCCTCGCACAATGCAGCAGAGGCTGGTTATACTATTTGTTCATGGGGTGCGGTGCCGTCAGTGCCAAGAAGCGCTTCGATTGCAAACCGAAACTTAAAAACTCGTGGAATTTGTGTGGTTTTTCAGGACGCCGTAAAATGCTGCGCGTGCCTTCTATCGTTCTGCAATTTGTTGATTTAGTGTTCCGTGACCATTTTGTGTGGGGAATTAGCAGCGAGGCGATACAACAGAGGCTGCGTGTTGAACAGAAGCTAACGTTCCACGTGGAGCATGACTTAGCGCTCACGGCGGAAGCCGCAGCCAGGCAGCTGAAGGATCTCAACAAGGATCGAAAGACACGTCATGGGTGGCGATGGCGGCAGGCACACAACGGCAGAAAGGAGCTCGCCTCACGAAAAGAAAGAGAGTTGCTACCATTGTGACGGTAAGCATCTTCCAACTTCATGCAAGGTCAAAACTTCAACATGCTATAAGGGTCAGAAGCTAGGGCACATCGCGGCAGCGTGCCGTTTGAAAAAACAGGCGGTGAAGCCAGCGCCGGGAGGCAAGCAGGGCAACGCAAAACAGGTCCATGAAGTGGATGAGTTATTCCTTCGCGAGCTAGCCGAGGCACAAAAGAAGTAGATGATCGAGGTTGCCCTTGCAAATGAGCAAGTCACCATTGAGGTGGACTCTGCTGCACCCGGTTTGATAGTCAGTGCACATGTACAGCAATATTGAAGCAAGCTCAAGAAAAAAGATCCCCATCATGAATCAAGCACCAAGCTGGTCATATGAAACGCTGTCGAATCTCAGTAAAGCGATGGTGGACATTGTGTTTAGAGATTACATTGCAACGTTACCATTGCTAGTGGTTGGCAGGTAAGGCAACAGTTTACTGGGCAAGAACTGGTTTCCGGTGCTAGGAACTGGAATGCAAGGCATCCAAAAGCTGAGCAGCTCCGAAGAGGATCTAACAGAAACTTCAGGAGATTTTCGGCAATGACTTGCTAGGACTTATAGGAGCACCGCTTCACATTGAACTGAAAGGCACTGCCGAGCCTAAGTTCCTCGAGTGTCATTTGGTGCCATTTGCTCTTATTGAAGACGTCAACAACGAGCTGGACCGCCTCCAGAAGCAAGGCATCTTGGAGCCTACCCAGTATGCCAGCTGGGCGACGCCACTGGTAGTGGTGAGAAAAAAAGGTGGGTCCCTGAGACTGTGTGGGGATTATCGAAGTACGGTGAACAAGGCAGTGAAAAGCAATGTTTACCCTCGAGCGACCACCACCGAAGTGTTTGCGGCAATAGGCACCAGTTGCATCTTCACGAAACTCGACCTCGCGCAGGTCTCCCAGCAGCTGATGCTGAACGATGAGTCCGCAGAGCTCCGTACAATCAACAGTTTGAAAGGACTGTACCGAGTCCGACAATCGCCCTTTGGTGTTTTGGCAGCACTGGGGCTGTTTCAGCGTGTCGTCTGCAGTCTGATCTCTGGGATCCCTGGTGTTGTGGCACACCTGGATGATATCATCATCTTTGGAAAAATGGAACAAGAGCACGAGTGTGTGGAGGCAGGGCCGGATTAAGGTACGAGCTAAGGGGGCTGCACCCTTGGGCCCTAGGCTGTCAGGGGGCCCCATGCTGGCCCCTGAAAATTTAAAAATGTTAGTCTTTTTTTTTGTTTTGTTTTTTTATTTAAGTTTAGGCAGAAAGCAAAAGAAACACTCCAAAGGGCCTCTGGCACAATGGCCTTCTCGTTCTCTTTTCCTCAACAAGGAAACAAGGATGCCATAAAGTTCCCCTCTCTAGATCAGCTGGCGTTTGTGAGCTCGTACAAGAGCGGGCCAGAACAACAAAATTTAACACGGCCTCCCATGCCCCTTGTTAGATTTTTTTTTTTTTTTTTTGAGCTTGATGGAAGGACGGTTATGCAGCTTTCTTTTGTACTGGGGCCCCCTTAGCGTGTTTTACGGACAATTGTGGGCAGGAACTTAAGCAAGCGTTAAGCAAGCAATGCAGACGGTTCACACATGTTGTTTTAAACTTTTTTGCGAAACTCCATATGGAGTTTATTCCAGAACAATAAGTTTGGAACAAGCAAAAAGGTGCCCGTAAATCTTCCGGACACCGTCTCTATATCCATCAACAAAGAGGCGTTTTAAGGAGCCGGCTCTTAAGACGCCCCTCAACAGTTTTCAATGGGTACTGACTGCAAGAAAGTGCTCTAGAGTCGGTATCTGGTCTGCCAGTGCAACTGAGCACTCTTCCTTTCAGCGACTGATATGCGGGGGGACGGAAATGTCCCCCCGAGGCCCTAACGCTTATTGTCGCTGTTCTTCAGCCGGCCTCCGTAGAATGCTAGGCATGCGCTCGTTGGGCAGTCGGTTCAGAGACGTGTAGCGAGCGTCCACAGAACTGCAAGCAGCTTGCGAAATGAATTATAGGTCACTGTTGTCCTGAGGTAGGGTAGCTAGCGTGTGTGCACCGCAAACTCCGTACGGCGTAAAAATAAATAGGTTGGTTATGTGGATTTGGAATTCGGGGAGAAATCGGGTTTAACCCGATCCTCCTAAAACATGTTCAGGGCGTAAAAATCGGGTAAAATCGAGTTTTACCCAAAAACTAACAACCCTATATATATATATATATATTATTAAGTTTCCTTTTCTCCGCACGATACATACCTTTTGCAGGAGCGATTTGACCCGCATTTCAAGGAACAGCCGTGTACAAAAGACCACCCTAGCGAACCACGTGGCATTGCTTCGTACGAGACTTCCGATGCTGTGTTGTCAAAGTGTTTGACAATCTCTTTGGCTCGAAGGAACGTATCTTTCGCTACATGTCAAGGTATATGTTAAGAGGAAGAATATAAAACAAATTGGGTTGTGTGTGTGTTTATACAGCCTAGAACTTGGTCTGCCTCACAGGGGCGACGAGTCTCCCAGCTGAAGATGAGAAATTTAGCCAGTGCGGTACAGCCGCTAGCCTGGGGTCTTTAACGTGCATCACGCAGTAGTGATACACGACCGCACGCCGGTACGATGCTCATCCAGATCGAAACGGGCAGGGGTGGGGCTCGAACCCAGGATCCCTGGGTTCTGCAGCGCGAGCTTTCGCTCCACGTGCTCCGAGCTGGTGTGCGCTAGACCACTCGGCCACCGATCCCCCCCGAGGAAGAATATAGACCTACCTGCTGTGTCATGTTCCTCATGCACTTGATACCGGGGCCGCGGCGATCGTCGTACGACGGCGGCGTCTTCCAGTGGTCGTAGTTGGTCTCTAGCAGAAACCACTTGTCCTTTGTGTCCGAAAGCTGGTACACGTCCGCGTGGTCGCTATTCCTGCTCCTCGTTATGATGGCAGCCTGTGGAACAAAAAAAAATGCACCTCTTTCACATAAAGAAGACAACAAGCGGTCAAAGCTCCAACTACGCTTGGCGTCTGAAAGGGGAAGGAGATGATGAGAGCAGCAGGAGAAAACAGAGAGATGAACTGTGTGGCCTGGCTCAGAAGGGGAGATGCGCTACATCTCCTACCTACCTCCTCCGCAACCCATATGAATCGCGGAGGAAGCAGGAATGGCAGTGCCTTTTTAGTTTCGTACGCCACCCGTAGTTCAAGTCTTCGCCGCTGCGTGAGGGGGGGCCTGCGCATGAACAGAACTGAAATAGGTCCATTGACAAACCCTTGATAAGACGAGAAAATTGCCGGAGTAAAATTAATAAGTGGGCAAGCTGGTACATGTTTAACTTGTGAAGCGCCTAAAAAATGAGGTCACGAGGAAGACGAGACAGGACCAAGCGGTGAGGTTACTCCTGCGACTAAGCGCAGGAGTAACCTTGCCGAAACGGAGGAAAGCGATAGATGAGACATTTGATTGGTCCTGCGTGGTGCACCTTACCTCTCCAGATTTGGTTCCACCGAGGATGAAGTAGACGGGGGCGAGAAGTTTTGTCGTGGACAGTGTCATTTTGGCGACGTCGTAGCTGGTTGCGTTTTCCATCAGGTCCCGCGTCAGGAACCCAACCCAATGCTGACTGTGGTCGCCGAGAATCCACTCAAGCAGGCCTAAAAAGAGCAGCATTTAAATGCCGATATAATTAAGTTGGAGATCGCTCGTGCTCATTTTGGGCCTCAAAACCCAGTTCTATGACGTGGTTGGGTTAGGAGACAGAAAATAAAGTGAAGAACTGAAGAACTTCCATGGAACTACTATATAAAAAAAAAATATATCCGGGGTAAAATAAAAGCAGCGTTTGAAAGTCTTTGAATTCCAGCGGAGTTGCTGGACTTTGGGTTTTAGGTAGCAAGAAATTATCACATTTTAAAGGTATCTATGTGCGTGTGCAGTGCTCACGGAAGTTGGGAACAAATGCCTTTGTTTACATGTACGGGGACTTCCCGAGAAAGGAGAACCGTGTTTTTCGGCCCTCCTAAATAAATTATGCATCGCAGAGTGCTCAAACTTTGTGAAAATCGGAAACTAGCAATTCAGATAGAATGTGAAAATTTTAGAACATGACATTACCTGGATCAAAAGATCATTGAGGAAAAACTAACTTTCTCTTATAAGCCAACCACCTAACGCTAATTTCATCAAACCAAAAAATGACATTGCTGGTGCCTGTAGCATTTATATCAGTAAAACAAACTTGTCAGCAAGAAAGAAAACAATATTTTCTTCCTTACTGACAAGCGTTTCTCACTGATTATATATATATATATATGGGTGATTTCATCTCAACTCAGGCACGAATTTTGGGTCAAATTTTTAATTTTTGTCAAAAAAATATGTTTTTGGGCAATTCCTATAATAAAGGAAGACGCAAACGGCGACTTCGTCAGATTTTTTTGTTCTCAAGGTATGGACAGTTGAAGCGGCCAAGGTGCAAACTGATGTTTTTCCAGCTTATCGGAGGTGCCATATTTCACTCCCATCACTTTTCCCTATGTTTTACGCTAAATCAATATAACTTTTTAAGAACACTCTCGCGATATGCTTTTTTATGCTAATTAAGCATCTAGGTCATAAGATCCTTAATGTTCTTGTTTCTTTAATTGTCAAACCGCCTCTGCGACAATATTTTAGAAAGTTCAGCAAGCTGTTGTGCTGTGCGACCTAATCAACATATTTTTATGATCTTTACATCACCGTAGGACTCTAATTAAGCTCTTTCTTTTGAGTATATATCTGAATATTTTGCGCTGAATATATAATGCGCAACATCTGCCTGAAAAACTAATATTTGGAGTCGATTTTCTAAAAAGAAACACTTTTTATTTTTTATTCACAGTTAGGTAATATAGTAGTCTATCACGAACTACCAACAGAAATTGTAATATATTGTTTGCATGGCCGCTATTAAGACTCGAATCTCCTGCTATGAGCTTTTTAAACAAGTCTTCGCACAGACGCTCTGCTGAGCAGAATTTTGACCTACGTAAGGTTTTCTATTTATTGTTAGCAGTTACCTCAATATCCAACCATAAACATTATTGAAATTTGGAATAGTGCACTTTTAGAAGTCCGTATCCACAAATACAACCAAAATACAATTTTCTAGATTACAGTTTTTAATAGTCTACTATTGTATCTAAAAGAATAAAGATTAAAAATTAAAAAAAAGGGTTTTTTGAGAAAAATAATTTTAAACATGCAACTTTTGTTATTTTAAACACTGTTTATGCGATGATAGCAATATAACTAAGTACCAGATCTGAGTGATATTAGTTTATCTATAATCAGCTTGTTTTGGGTTTTCGGTAGATCTGAAAAAGATCATTTACGTTAAGTTTAACAAAAGTGGGGACCTGTCAAAGTTGACCGAAAATCGACCTAAGAGGTCAGTTTCACATTGTGTTATAAAAATTTAAAAAACTTATAAATTTGTATTTTATCCAGAGTGTCTTTATAGTACCTACTAAATGCTAGAAAAAGTTTAAAAAAGACAAAAAGAAAATAAGGGCAGCAGAGGGTGCCACACATACGACCTGCGACAGCAAGAGAAAACCCTCATTTCTGCTGCGGCGTATCCTACGCTCCATAACTCGAGAACCAGAAATACGAGAAACTTGCAGGTGGTGCCCTCCTTTCTTTTTAAAATGCCCCCCAGTACATATATTCTCTTTTCGCAGAAAAATAAAGGTTAGGCACTCTTAGCCTGCCCGATTAGAGATGAAATCACACACATCTATATTGATCTGGTGCCTGTAGCGTGCATAAAGAGATGTGAGCTCACCAATAAATCCGCCATTCAAACTGAAGCGTTCGTTGATCGTCAACGAGAAGGCACCCTTGAAATATAAAAAAAAGATGGCACGTTCTTAAAACAGGAATTACATTGTTCAATCGAGAGAATGATAGATACGAGTGAAATAATCCACTTCCACGTTTTTAGTTTTTCAGTTTGAAGAAACCGTAGTTTCAAAGATCAAGCAGAGTACTCTTAGTAACAACCCACTCTACTTATGAGCGACGTGAACGCCAGGTATGTATCACCGATAAATCTAGTCAACATTCTTTTCCTGGTTAGTGTTGTGGACAAAAAATGGTCCTATGACAGGAAAGTAAATAAATGACAAGCAAGGTACACCTTTTTAACGCCAGTCAGCACGCCCAAGTAACCTGCAAAGCTGACGGCCTTGAAGACAGTCTTTCCAGATCTCTGGAAGTCCAATTCGACCACTGTCGGTCTAAGCGTTTCTGTCATGGCCCAGGTATGATTCTCCCTGTCCCATCTGGAAGCAGGATGTCCAAATAGAGAATTTTTAAATAAACAGCTCCAGTAGCATATACAGTGCATCGAAGGTGAAGAAAATCGTAACAAGCTCCTCCCACAAAACCCTCTTTCCACTTTGGCAGAGCGAATGCCGGAGAGGCGGAAACCATCAATCATGGCGAGCAGAGATTTGTGGGTAGGGCCTCCTTTTCTTAACCTACGACAATCGAAAGTTCTACATTGTGCTCTGGCCCGTGCCCTAGCAGACGACGAGGATCACAAGTGCACCACCAAATAATATAGAACTACGGTACACAGTTCACGTGACATCCACCAGTTTGTGGAACACTTCTGAGAATCCTGCGCACAATTTACTGTCTGCCGAGTATGAAATGAACGATTAACAGCACCTGCACACGTGTATTGTCGTCTCGCTCAGGAGCGCGAGACGACAATACACTGAAATAGAACACATCAGTGAATTCATACAATATGTTGAAGTTATATTACTTAAAAATGCATTTCGCCTCGACTTTTTTTAAAATGTACTACATTATTTCCACTGGTATTCGACGTACGAGGTAAGCTGCCTTCCCTGTAACAGCCCGTGAGTAAAGCCCGACACATGTTTGTTGACTGCAATGCCAACCCATTTTGCCCTCGGTGAAGTCCGTCGTATCGGTGCTGGCTCGATTGACAGGATCACGGGGCGGATTCCACGCTGCCATAATAGGCAGATTCACGGAAAGGGGAAGAGCCTCAAAAAGAAGAGAGCTCCGTGGAGCAAGGCCGGCCCTCCCCTGTCGAGAGCCCCTCGGGCCGTTGTAAATGAGCGCTTGTCGCAAGTAGGTTTACTTTTCGGAGGAGCAGATACGTCCAGATATAGAGGTCCCAAAGGGTGTGCCGGTGGCAAGTCACCCAACAAGGACGAGCGAGTTCACAATGGCAAAGTCTCGCAACCTGGACGCACCCCGATATGCCGACGCCCAGCTGGGCCTAGATAGGGGTGCAGGGAACACGTGGGTCCCACAAATGAAAATCCCCCGGATAGCTCTAATGGGACACGACTTCGAAATGTATATAAACATAATAGCCACATTAAAAAAAAAAGTGCAACAGCAAAGAATCCCCCCCCCCCCCCCCCCCTAGTTCTTCCTTTTCCTCTGATCCTCTCTTAAATGTTTTAATGAATACGTCAACCATTAAAGGGATGCTGAACCGAAATCTGGATTCCCCAAAACACGCAGCAAAAGCGTGCAACGGTATGCTATAAACACCAAAACATCCCGCATACAGCGATATCTTGAACGGATGACCGCATTCTTAAAAAAAAAGAGGTGCATTTGGCAGGAATGTTGACGTCATGTTTCTCCAAGAAGGAGAGGGAACAACCTCGCATCTTCTCCGCCTCGCGGCTTTGAGGAAGCAAAGCGAAGAGGAGGAAACTAGGTATCTTGACGTCACGCGCCTCATCGGCCTGGTTCAATCTCGACTTCTTTTTCCAAAAATACGGCCGTCCATTTGAGATATTGCCTTACTAGTAGTGTTGTAGGGGTTGTAGCATCCCGCGCCTACATCTCCTGCATTGTTTTTTTTTTCTTTAAATCCAAATTTCGGTTCACCGTCCCTTTAAAGCGGCGCTGAAACCCCAAAGGTCATATTTATTTGTTGTCTAAAATGACGCAAGTTGTAGTCAGACGCGGAAAAAAAACACAACGCAAAAAAAAACATTTCTTTACGCACAAACGCACCTTATTTTTGATGCCACCCTTCTCTCCCCTTTCTCACCTCCTTGCTTCTTTTTATTTGAGACGCAATCGATTATGAAATTTGGAAGCTCTGTAAGTGACACTTCTATAATATTTAATAACAACATTCGTAAAACATGCTTTTCAATGCAATTGCGGACGCACTTGAAAAATAATTTTTGAAATACCAAAAATCAGAGTCCAAAGTGATGCCGCCGCCCATGGCTTTTTATCCTCCCTCGGAGAACGTGGTGGCGTTCGACACATGTAGCACTAAGGAGGATCGGTGAATCAGGGAATCGGATGAAGTTCTCTATTTTAAACACCCAACAACCTCTCAGACTTTGAAAAAGGAATTTTTAGGGTAACATACAGGCATCATTTTCAATTGTATCAGATAATAATAAAAAAAGATTTTGATCTGTCAGTGCCCCTTTAAACGGGCCCTGCAATCCTATTTAAGCACCTACCTTTTTTGCTGTTTCCACATCTCTTGTGGTTCGAGCAACCCAGCGGGCATGGAGAGAGTAATAAATATCACTCCGTCATATTTTCACCGGACGACGCGGAAACCTCCTCCACCTACGGGAGCGACCCGTGGTGCCGACTGCACGTGGCATGCGACGAATTCGTAACGCTGACAGTCCCGGTCCGCTCCTGCTTTACGACTGGTTAGAGCCGATAAAAGTTTTTCTTTAGTCGAAGTACAAAAAATAAGTGGCACGAACCATTTCAATTATTTACGAAAGCAGTTTTTGTTCAGTGTTGTAGACGTGGAAAGAAATGCAGTTTGGAAAGTATGGAAACAAGAAACAAGCGCGATGACCCATTGACATACCCGCCACCAAGTGGTGGAAGATGCGGGGCAGGCCGGTGCAGGCACCCCTGCGGATCCTAGCAAACGACGCACGACGCCGGCGGTTCATTTTGCAAAAAGCAAAAGAATGAATTTGTCTCTTGTGGTCGTGCGCCACAGGAGACCCACCCGGAACTTGAGCAACGTCGAGGTGAGACCAAGAGACTTCGCCAGCGCACTCCAGACGCTTAAAGGGATGGTAAACCGAAATTTGGATTTAAAAAAAAAAAAAACAATGCAGGAGATGTAGGCGGGACCCTACAATCCCTACAACACTACTCGTAAGGCGATATCTCGAATGGATGGCCGTATTTTTGGAAAAAGAGGTCGAGATTGAACCAGGCCGACGAGGCACGTGAGTGGAGATATCTCGTTTTCTCCTCTCTTCGCTTCGCTCCCTCAAGGCAGGGAGGCGGAGAAGACGCGAGGCCGCTCCCTCTCCTTCTCGGAGATACATGATGTACACATTTCTGTCAAATGCGCCATCCGTTCGAGATATAGCTGTACGAGTTTTGTTTCGGTGTTTGTAAAATACCTTTGCACGTTTTTACCGCCGTGCTTTGTGGAATCCATATTTCGATTCAGCATCCCTTTAAAGGGGTACTGACACATCAAAATCATGTTTTATTTTATTATCCGAAACGATTGAAAATGATGCCGGGACAGTACCCTCAAAATTCGAAACTTGGGAATTCAGTATTTCTGAATTAAAAAAACAATTTCCAAATGCCGAATTTGAAGTTCCCGCGCGGTCCGCGCCAGTGCAGTGCGTCAAACTTTGCGGTCTCCTGCGACTCGACTTTCTTTCGGACCTCCGCTCCACGCTGTGAAGCAAAGCGCCGTTGGCACCGCGACTCGAAGCGATGAGGAGGTGAGCAGGCGGGATAGAAGGGTGCCGGCGCGGGAAAAAAACGGTTTCTTCGTCGACTTGGCGATAAGCCTCTGCTCGAGCACCGCCAAGTTTTCCGAGGGAGGATACAAATCCAGGAAGCGACATCACACCGAAATCTGATTTTTGGTATTTCAAAAAGAAAGGCTGCAGTGCCTTTGCAATTGCGTTAAAAAACATGCTTTACGATTGCCGTTATTAAATGTTATAGAAATGTCACCTACAAAGCTTCTAAATTTCCTGATTTTTGACGTCACCGATCAAAAGAAGCAAGGAGGTGAGCGCAAGAGATATAAACGCCAAAAATAAAAAGGTACGCGCGCGCGCAAGGAAATTTTTTTTTGCAATGCGTTTTTTTTTTTTTTTTTTGCGTGTCTATGACTACAGCTTGCATCGTTTTAGACAATAAAACAGAATACGACCTTTGGGGAGTCAGTGCCCCTTTAGGGAGGAGTCTCCTCGTACGGTACCACTCCCATCTCTGCAGTCCTATCGAGGATTCGGAGGTCCAACTCCGGGAAACCCGGTAAATACATGCCCCCAAGCGTGGTAGAAGGCTGAAGCAAGCAATGCGCCATTAACACGCATGCGGCTGTAGGAAAAGCGACCATTAACGTAAGCCACAGCCGATTGGCCAGTCGCTTTGCTTCTACCATTGCCCACCTGAGCCAGGACCAGGGAAGTCATGAAGAAGGTTATATTTTGTTTGCCTTTGTAATTTTAATATGCCTGTAACTTAAAAAAGAAATTTCGAGAAAAGAAAACTTTCACTAAGCTACTACAGTCACTGTACTCATGTACGGTGCAAAAATAAAACCAGTCACAAATTCCTTGCAGGGCCCCTTTAAGACTCCTAAAGTTTCTTTATGGTTTCACTTTATGCATACTGATTACAGGGTACTCTAGTAATGAACATACTTTGCACCCGCCAGAAACAACTAATGTAGATTTTTGTAGACAGCTGCAGTAGCAAAACAAAGTTATGATGCTAGCCTGCAAATGCAGAGGGCAAGCGCAGCTAAAGTTCTACAGCAGACAACAATTGAATGGCAGATGCTGAATGGTGTTGAAAGCAGGCGGATAACAATCATATCAGACAAGCAAACAAAGCAACTGTGAAGCTAACAGTATCTTATAGATAACCGAGCAGAGGAAAACTACAATCTATCTACCATAGGACAGCAATGGACTCATGCCAGTGTGAAGTGCTATTTGAGTACAGAGTTGGGTAACACTGAACACGGAAACTAAGATAGGAACATGCAACCTATTACGGACGAATATGAGTGTTGAGATATTCACCCGAGGAAAAGTCCAAAGTCAAGATTCCGGGCATGATACAAGTTCCCTAAAAAACAGTACACCCGGTTTAAATGACTGGCTCGCCTACAACCACAAGAAAGAGAAAAGCTCTACAGTACCATTGAGGTCTTCTGCAACAATTGAAGTGCAGACTGTGAAGAACTCGTAGAAAACATTGTAAAGGATAACTTCGCCTAAAATACGACCAGAAAAATTTGTATCGCACCATGTAAACGTTGATTAGCAAGAAACATATCAAAAGGGGTGGAAGTCAAAACATCATCAGATGACACATTATTGATTGAGACGGTTGTAGGCATCATACCTAAAGGCAGTCCAGTTAGATTTGACAGAGCTTTCATTTCTTCCCTGAAAGTCCAAGGCAGGCTCTGGAGAAGCTTGGGCTAGCAATTTTTATTGAAGAAAGGTAAGCCCATTTAAGTAAACCAAACACAATTTTTTTTATATATATATATATATATAGAGAGAGAGAGAGAGAGAGAGATAATTACCATGTCTTTGTCAACGAGTGACAAAATTCGACCTCCGAAGATAGAACCAAGTAGGTTCATGAGTGCCTCATGCATCCGATAAACCTAAAAGTAAAAAGAAAAAAAAAAAATGTCATTAAGTGTGACAATGTAAGTCATGCAATTCATATAAAATTTATTTAATTTTTTTATGAACCAACCATAGCAATGCGAAATACGAAATTGGCACAAGCTGGTAGGAACTTGAAGAAAAGAATACATTCTCCGAAGCTGGTTCATCATGTGCTTTGGTTGTGATCAGAGCAACTAATAAGTGTCAACCGTGAAAGGTTCACCAATGATGTCTCCAGCGATAGAAGAGGCATTTGACCCTTTGTAGCAGGTTCTGTAGCAGTCAAAATGTTGGCTTGGAGCAGCCAACAATGCTTTTGGAGCAGATGCCAATGTCTGTTAGCAAACCACTTGAAAATGAGAAAGTGATTGCATCTCTGAATTCTCTACGATAATGATCGAGGGTTCCTCTTTGCTACTGGAGCATTTTACTTATTCACCTTTTGTGATAAGAATAGATAAGGTGCAAGAGCAACACAAACCCTTCTTTTTGGAAATAACACTCTGGTCAGTGCAGGTTCCATTTACAATGCACATTAAAAAACAGTTGAAAAATGAATCATGGCACAGCACTTCAGTTGGGATAAAGCCCGTCTCCCTCCCCATTTAACACTCGACAGTTTATTCAGTTTGTATATGTGATTTCTGTAAAATGTCAGCAAGAAACCAGTATATCCGTTAACACACCTTAAAAAGAAAAAAAAATTGTTTTTTTGGAAAAATGGTTTTGTTGTTTATTTTGCCTTATCAAGGGGGTGCACGAGGGTTGCACCAGGTTCGGTTTTTGGGTGATACGTTTGCACCGCTTTGTATGAGTTGAGATCAAGACAATATGTACCCTAGCTGAAGGCCACGAAGACATGTGCAAACCGCCGAGAAACGGATGTGGGAGATGGTATGTATATTACTGCGTCAATAATGTTGTTTAAATTGTTTTGTTTCTCCCCTTCTTTTCGTCCCCCGTCTCCAGTTTTTTTTTTTTTTTTTTTTTAATGTGTAACATAAACCAGCTTGCATGTCTACTTACTCTACCTTAAATCATATTGACTAGTATGTCTATCAATAAAAACGTGTCCCCCAAGTTTAATGAGCCTACCAAACTCCAGATATTGTCACAAATGGCAGATAATGAGGCGACGAACAAAGAAAAGCAAACCGTTTAATTTGGTGAACTTGTGCCGAAAATAAAAACATGAATTTCTTGAGATGGAGCCTCGAGAAAGTTGGCTATTCATGATTTAAAGGGGCACTGACAGGTCAAAAGCATTTTTTTTCTTCATCATCCGAAACAATTGAAAACAATGCCTGTATATTAGTTTAAAAAATTGGAAACTTGGGAACTCTGTATTTGTGAAGTAAAAAAAATCAATTTCCCAAAGCGGAATTTAAAGTTCCCGCACGATCCGCGCCAGTGCAGCGACGTCAAAGATTGAGTCGCCCTGCAACTTGTGTTTGTCTCACGCCTCTGAACCGTTCTGACCCAAAGTGCCATGTTCGCCCGTGTCCTGTATTCAACCGCCCTTCTCCATGCATGCCGCCTATCGCTGGGTTGCCGGGAGATCTTCAAACGCATATTTGACTAATTTCACGATCATAACCTGCACTTATTATTTTTATACAGAAAATATGAAGATTCAAAGATATTAAAACACCATAAAACCCAAAAACATTCTTTCGCAAAACATCTCCGTTTCTTGACCTGATCCAGGCGCTCCCCCGTGTCATCCTCCGGTACAAAAAGGTGACGCTCAACGCATGCACTGGTGAGAGGTGTTCGAAATTGACATAAGGGGCTAAAGTGCTACAGTACACTGCAGCAAGTGCACAGACAGACACGATAATCGAGAGATCTCATCAGGAGTACAAGACCCGGGTTCTGTCCTATCACAGTAGTCGACATCCTCTTATTTTGCAATTTTTTCTCGCAACTTTTAGCTTTTCACACTGCCAACATCGTTTGGCGATGAACTGACCAGTGCAGTTGATAAACAATATCTGTACCTCATCTCACCTTAAAGTGCAGCTGACCCTACGAGCCAATGAGACCGATCCAACGGCATAAAAGTGCGACCTCGTGGCATTCGTCATCTTCCTGCGCGTGTTCTTTCATCGGCAAGACCAATCATGGGTGGCGAATGTCCCGTGACTCGCGCTTTTAGTTGCCTGCTCGCGGTTGCATCCTTTTGAGTTTTCAACTGCACTCTGGCCCAATATGATGAAACAAACTATATGGTCAATATGGAGACCCCTCAACATAGATTTTTTTACTATTTTCCTTTCCTCCTACTTATCCAAACATTAGAATCGACTGATAAAAAAAATATTTTACTTTTTTGCGAGGCACGTCAGCACAAAATGTAGCGGACTTTTGCTCGTAGCACAATTTGGCGCGGCGCTTCCGTCGTTGCCAATAATAAAAGCCGCACAATGTCATTTTGAGGTAATCGCAGGAAGAGTGAGCAAACACAGATTGGTCGGCATTGGGCTGGGCCTCACGCCCAGTCAATGCATCACGACGAGGACAGGACGTCTCCCTCGAATGCCTCTCGTATTAATGCCCCGCTGTGGGTCCGTGCTCCAAGCTCACCCATTATGTTCTGAAACGTGCTCATGCCTTTCTCATTTTGTCACTGATGGGAATCGTATTACATGGAGCCGAATGACTGGTGTTGGGTTGCCGGTGGCACGGCTGTCCTTTTAATTACTCGAGCCGCTGGGGCAACGAACAAAAGCAACCCACGGGCCTCGAGCACACGCAGCCTGCCCCAGAATGTATCCTGGGCAGACTTGCGCTTACTTCACCAGCTCCCAAACTAGCAGCCTACCAAAGGTACCTTCGCGTGCACGCTGCACGTGCTTCAGGTTGTTTCCGTTTGGCGCTCGAGTGGTTCTTGGGTATAACGAATGCAAATGTCCGAACCAGGCATTGGAATGAGTCAACATTTTTCCAAGATCTTTAACTTCTTCGGTGAGAGCCGTAATTAAAGTTTTACCTCTCGACGCTTTGCCGTCGCAACTTCTTTCCATCTCTCGGCTGGCGACAAGTCCAAATTGATGACGAACGAAGGAACGGCCGAGCTGCGTAAACGAAAACATCTCGGATAGAAGCTACAACTCAAAAACAGAAAGAATGAAGAGATTGGTCCACGTGCAAGAGGTACAGTTTGGCTCACCTATTCGACGGTTGCAATCCCCGCTGACATTCACCGAACTGCGTCTACGAAAAAGACGACACCTTGAAGGAAATCTGCGCGGCCAAGCAGTATGGCGGTGCTTCTTCAGTGCGGCATTGGGAAGCACCGCAATATGCATGCGTGTTCCAATATTTCCTCCGAAAATACATTTGTATTTGCATATTTGCATCACCATAAAATTTATGAACTGTATGCCAGCTATTCGAATTCAATCGAAAACGATGGACATCGCTGAAATTATAGGTCTCTTTCCCGCCGCTTAATGTCCATGTTGGAGTGAGACAAATTGGGAAATTGTCCACAATAAAGTTTTGGAAAACTGTCTAAGTATAGAATAAAAACAGAAACAGCGCAAATATGTGGACAAAGTAAAAGGTAACCGACAGTACACAGCACTGATTCTCACTGAAGTTTCTTCATGATGGCATCTAGTATAAACAACATACATGTGACTCAAATAAACCGTGCAAAGACAAAGAAATTAGTGTGTGGGTATGTTTATACAGTCTGAACTTAGTCTGCCTCAATGGGCAACTTGTCTCTCAGGTGCAGATGAGCAATTTAGCCAGTGTGGTACAACCACTAGGGTCTTTAACGTGCACCACACAGTAGCAATATATGACCGCATGCCAGTATGATGCTCATCCAGATCGAAACGGGCAGGAGGCTGGGATTGAACCCAGGATCCCTGGTATCTGCAGCACGAGCTTTCGCTCCACATGCTCCGGGCTGGTGTACACTAGCCCACTCGGCCACCGATCCCCCGGAAAAAAGACAAAACACTGGTATGCTTTCCCCGGTCCAACAATTGCTGCTCTTTCTTGGAAAGTATAATCAAAGGGGCGCTAAAGCAGTCCGGCCCGTCTCGCAAGCTTTAGTGATTTCATGAGCGATTCTGTCCCTATTTTTAAACACCACCACAATGAAAAACTTCCGGTTTTCTGTTATTTTTCTTTAACTGTAATTGCGTGGTTTGCATCGGGTAAAAACGAAGCAGTGATTTCCTTAGACAACCCCCATAGGGGTTTTACACTACCCTCGTTTTTCTAAGACACCCCCTTAGTTCGCAACTACTCGTCTATTCTCAATGCCCCCCCCCCCCCCCCCCCCTTCCTTAAACTTTAGACAGCCCCCCTTAATTTCAATTCCTGGGGAAACCCCTGCAACAAAGGGTGGCATCATGTAGAAAGTGCCAACTGAAGAAAACAGAGACATCCTTTAGAGGGAGATAAGGGCTTGTCTACTCGTCGTGGGCGTCGAATAGCAACTTACTTTACGGCAACATTTACGCGCAAGCGTCGAATAGCAACAGATGTCAAACTTACCGCCCTTGCCGCTGTAACAAAAGCAAGGCCCAGGGCTCCAAACAGCAGGCATTGGAGGGGCAACATGTCTTCCTGGGCACCAAGTTAGTTGTGCAAAGAAGCCGCGAGCACCGACCGGGGGTTGTCGTACGACACAGATTAGGTGGGGAAAAATGAGAGCGGGAGATCGACTCGCAAACTGGCCATCCGTCGGATCTTTCGGATAAGGCGCACGAGGCTGTGATAAGAGCAGTCGGGTTTGGAAAGCGATTCTTTCGCACTTTCGGCGACCTCCGCAATCCGTCGAGTGTTGTTAGAGATTTATGTCTAGCGTCCCGATGACGCGTCGGTGTCACGATGACAGCAAAATCGTATATCACCAGAGTGTTATGTGTCTACGGTTACATGTTTACCTCTCTCGGGAAGAGGTTAACAGGGCCAAAGTATGTGCGACAATGGTACGTGACTCATCTTTCTCTGGGTTCTTTGATGCGCACTGCTTTCGTCGAGCTGCGCGAGTGCTCGCGAAAGGTTATTTCGATTCACGCATGTGCAAAAGGCAAAGAATTTTGTGCTGGCACACCTGCACCTTTGATAACACTGAACACACAACAGCAATTTAACAGTTTTGATAAAGGTGTTCTTTCCAAAGCGATGCAACCTACGCGTCAGGAAATGTCACGAGATACAACCGCCATGCACGTTATGCCCGATTCACACGATGCAGTTTTAGAAGCGATTTCACAGTAATGTTGTTTGTGCGGGAAAAAGAAAGACAAGCGTGGTGGAGGTTGCGGTGCTCAGTGCTGCTGCAGCAAAATCTGTATCAGGCCTCCCAGTGAAAATGATCTAATAGACTATATACCTGAGCACTACACACACTGCAGCAAAGGCTAGACCTTTAGCAGTCCTGCATTATAATACTCGCCGGTGCAGTGGAAACAAATTCCAGTCATGCGACACACTTCCGACCAACACGCTGCTTAAAAATGAGACGGCACGCATCGACCCTCCACGTGCTTAGGAACTAGATTCAAGTCAAGCGATACGTCCGTGCACGCACCGACGGCAGCGCCATCGCAGCCGCTCCACGTCGAAGCCGCGTCTTGGTGTCTACTCGCGGACAACCTTCCGTGGCAGTCAAAGCTATGGGCTCGGGTGTGCTTGCGCACGTTGAGCGCACATCAAAGCACCCTCCCCTAATTCTCAAGTGCCACAGAAAGTTACCCGAGAGTATGCAGGGCCGTAGCCCGTAGTTTGCTTTTTGGCGTCACCTAAGGCCAACGTGGGACACAGTTTGGATACCGGTGCTGCGTCGGAATTCGGCCGAGACGCGTCATCACCGACTGGTGTTCCAGTCACCGAGTCGAACGTCAACGCACCCGTGTCCAACCCACGTCCCCATTTTGGATAGAAATGGGCCAAATCCAATGCCACTTTGGTCCACTAGGGATACCCGTGTCCAGTAGGTTCCGGCATGGTGCCTGAAAGCCATCTCTGACCAGCTTCTGCTTCTCGACGCCATACTAGTGTCTGGTGGTGTCACGGTGGTGGAAGGAACACACACCTGCTCCAGTTTGACAGTCCACCCAAGCGTCTGCAGTCAGGACGACAGCGACGCTCGTGTTTGCTTAAATGTTGTAACCGCCGGGACATCCCACACCGACGTCACTTGTTGCACTTTTGATGCCAGTCAGAAATGCCTTCCGGGCACCGACAGCCCCACTGGAGACCTCTATGAGAAAAGCATCACCAACGGTTGCAACTGCCTTTTTATTGGAATTAACGTGAAACATTGTTACAAATCATCTCCATTTAACTGCGTTCCAAAAATAGTACAAGTAAATGCAATATAACTGTGAATACCTCGGCCGCTCGGTTCAGCCAGTGGCTCGCACAAATAGTGTTTCAAGCTCTGCTCAGAACCAAGCAACTGAGACACCAAAAAACTGCTTTGTACCAACATATATATATATATATGTATGTATATATATTTCAACTGTATCTTCATCTTCGCTCCACTAATGAACAGCCTCTGGTATAGAAAGCCAACGTGAAATCTCAACAAGTTCCAACTTGGATGGCAAAAAAGATGGCTGCTCTCTCTCGCTTTGTCACTCCAGTACTTCTTTTTTTTTTTTCTCTCTCTCTCTCTTGCTCGCACACCCAGTAGTAGTAGTAGTAACACTCCAGCGGTTCATACAACTTCGACGAACCACACACTTTTTTTTTTTTGTTTTTTTTTACCACTTTTTAAATTCTTGCCATTTGTAAAACAGCACCAAAAATATATCAGTGCCCGTGTAAAATACATAAACATTAAACGTCTCAAAAGTGTAAACCACAGAAACATTGGGGGACCGAAAAGAGGGAGAAAAAAATAACTCGCTTATTTTTTTTCTCTGCTTTATCTGTTCTATTTCTTTTCTTTTTTTTTTTTTTGTTTTTTGCATTTTTAAAACACTCCATCATCGCTGTCAAAACTAGCGCATGACACGACTTGCAACAGCGTTGGCCCTCCGAAGCTTCACACTGAATCCTCGCAAATATATTTATGCATATATGTATACCTTCCTACGCTGCAAAAAAAGCGACCAAATATCAAATGGCAAGCATAAGTGAACCAAAAAAAAAACACTAAAAAAACCTGGACAAACATAAAAAACACTAAAAACTGCTCAGAAAAACTCGATACGGAACTCTCTCCATAAAAAGTAGAAAGCTGGTGACTGCAGCAACAGATCGCATGTCATCAACGCAGGCCAACCAACTTGCCTGCAATGGTCAGCGTGCAAACAAGAGAGCCAAGACGACAGCACCCCGACTACCTGTCGAGAGAAAACGCTTTACAACCCTACACGCGGCCTCTGCATATTTTCCGAGCGGCCGAACAAAGCTAGCTACGTGTACATATATATACATATCAAAACAAGAAACGACGGGGGGTTAAGTGCAGTGAACTCAACATCCCAATGTCTACCACTAGGTGCATGCCACTTTCCTTATTGCTGAGAAATTATTTGAGTGATGCGCCTCGTGCGACTAAGCCGTCTTTGCAGAGGGGCAGAAAAAACTGCAGCTAAAGGGCCAACGCCAGTTGCAAGCCTGCACAAAAAAAAACACTTTTTTTTTCTTTGCATAGATTAAGAGAGAAACCGTAGATGGCAGAGAGGGAAAAAAATAATAAAAACTTTGAAGCAAAAATGACTCTCTCGTCTTCGTTATACATACACATACTAGCTTCTTGTTCAAGGTGCGGTTATTCCGAAGAGAAAAAAAAAACACCCAACACACTGCATACTGCTTCTAGACATCATCCACTTCACATGGAACAATGTTAACGTGCACCGTGCTGGGCTATGTAGAGAAAAAAAAAAAGGATGCGCACACTACGCAATTTCCCTTTCCCCTAAATCTCACTCCACCGTCTTCTCGATACAAAGGAATTTTTTTTTTCTTTTTACTTTTTAATCTTGGTGATAACATAAATGGACTAGTCTGGTAGTGGAAGCTGCAAGAACACAGCACTGTAAGCAATAGATGTGCAACCATCTTATTAAAAACAAAACTGAAAATTTGAAGAAAATATAACCCTGCAAACGTGACAGGACTCCGGAAACATTCTTGTTGCGGCGTGTTCACGAAGCGACCTTCGTGCCTCAACAAAAAGGTTCCGGACGACAAGTTGGAAGAAAAATAGTCTCGTAAAAAAAATGCGAGGGTACTGTGCATAGTCTTCATGTACAATGTGTATATAGATAGGTATGTATACGGAGTTTGGAACGCGCAGACACCTTGCGCGTGCTGGCACTAGAAAACAACATAAAACCTTATCGGAACAAAGCAGTATGGAGGGAGAAGAATTCTTCCGTAAAACTCTCTTAAAAATAATGAGAAAAAAAAACAATTGAAACCATAAGGAATTTCAAAAACTGTAAAGCAGTGCAACACAGTAAGCTACTTGCCACAAAAAAAAAAATTAATTAAAAAAACGGATGGAGATGCGAAATTAAAGTAAAACAAGGGACTAAAAACTGCAACTGCAGGATTTGTAAAGAAAAAAGAAATCTCATCGACAGTTTCAAGTAGATGAGTGGGGTGGGGGGAAAAAGCACTACACCTTCTTTCACTTCTCGGCGCATTTCGTATCCACTCTGAAAGACGCAAATGCTACAACAGTCAAAGTACCCTGGAAAAAAAACGCCATAAACAGAACAATACTAGTCCCTTCCCCCCAACCCCCAAATAATGTATAATATAATATTCGTATGTATAATAATAATAATAATGGCAGACTACGTGCAAATAAACGCTTGTTAGTCGGGACTTCCTGCCTAAAAAATGACAAAAATATAGAGCGAAATAAATGAGTGTCACAGTTCTTGTCACGGCGATTTGTAAAACAAGCGAATGACGCACTTACACACGTGCGGAAACGCAACGTAGCGGGAAACCAAGAAATAAAGAACAAACACCGACGTGCCAAGGTAGAGAAACGTTGCCTTCTACTAACACAGCCGACAATTGTGCCACGAAGTTGACCAGTGCCCACCAGACATTTGACCACCCCGGGAGGCTCGATAGGGAAGGTGGGACAAGTGTCTGAAAAGCGGCCAGTAGCTGCCTCATTCCCGGAGGGCAACACGCCGTCCCGCACAAAGACGGAGACAAAAACGCCACCGCAGGAATAAACATCCGTCGCTCCTCTTCCAAGCCCGTGGCACATGCCACGTCCCGCTTTTAATTAAGCAACCCAAAGTGATTGTAAAGACAGGGCCGGCAAACGTGCCGACTTCTTAAACGGAGGGAAAAGGGGGAAAAAAAACACTTCGCCGACGGCTTTCAAAAAAACAAAAGCCAGTAAAAAAAAAATCCAAACACACTTTAGTCTTGATAAGCTCGCTCACACTGACCACGAAAAAAAAAAAAAGAAAGAACTTTCATCATGTTCTGACTAGAAATATGTACACACTTGTCAAAAAGAGGGAAAGGAGAGGGTAAAAAAAAAAAATGAACACTGCATTCAATGGATTTCACTGCCTCCGATATACTCACTACGCGTTAGTATGGCAGAAGTATGAAACGAGCAAAAACAAAACGTCCCCTTTTTCTGTTTCACGACGAGGAGAGGTGCTGTCTAAAACAAGAGGGGATGACTCCGACGTAAAAAGGAAATGACGGTGGTTGTTGCCGCGATAATAAACTGCCCTAAAAAGCCGGCTGGGAGTGGAATGTCATCATTTGTCGTCATTCGGAGAAGAGGCCTTCCTTTAGCTTTTGTCAATTTGTTTCCTGCCTCCGCATTTGTTTTACTTTTTTTTTTTTTTTATGTGAAGCCACCACAGTTAAGAACTAGTGGCAACACGGGTTTCGAAGTTTAAAAAAAAAGACATAACTAAAAAAACAAAAAAGCACCACACACACAAGGAACGTACACACACCAACCCACAAGCTAGCTCACTCGAGTGTAAAATCAAAAACAATAAAAATAAACACAAATAGAAGAATGCAACGAGGGGAAAAAAAAAAAAAAGCCATGGCACCCAGCCACCATGAACGTGCAAGGAATCGACACTACTAATAAGCAATAATTGTAATGGGTGTAAATTGAGGTACGTGTAAATATTTACACATCAGGTAATGTGCAAGTGCACACACTTAAAAAGGAAAAAAAAAACGGAGAACAGGACTTTAACGGGGGCAAAGCGGGAATTCATCGAGAAAAAAAAACCCCTTTCAGTTATTGTTTCCTTCCCTAACAGACTACTAACCCGAAAAGCGGTTGGCAACTGGTCGCGCAGACGCGACCGGACGTTTCGTCAGTCATTGCTCGCACAATCGTAAGCAGAGTCCTTTCTGTCCCAACGTCGCGCAACTTCTTTCACCCCCTCCACAAAGTGAAAAAAATAAAAGGAAAAACACGACAACAAAACACATTGGAGCACTACAAACACGTATACGCAGTCCAAGGTAAAACAAACCAGATAACATTTCCAACATTCAAACAAACACGTCTGTGACACATAAAATGGAAACGGGATGCATTTTGGCACGCAAGACCAGTTCTTCCAAAAAAAACAGAAAACAACTAAGATGCAGCCGTAAGGAGACACAATCATTTTGAGCGTTTTGGCTGAAAAACAGGAGGAGGTAGAAAAGAGAGAGAGAGAGAGGGGGAAAGCAGCAGCTTGTGTGACACTACGGCTAGACCAACCCGCACTGTAGCATGCCTCGTACGTAGCCATTATGGATACACAATATACTTTCCAACATCGTCTGCATCGAAAGAGAACGGGACACGCGGTCCCAAATGGCACGTTTTGTCTATGTGTATATATATAATATATATATATGTATATAAAAAAAAAACACTAAAGCACGGTAAAAAGGACTAGGCACGAAGGGTATATAATATATATATGTATGTATATATATATATTCTTTTTTAAATTCTCCTAAAGCATGCAATAGGACACATCCGTGTCTGCACTTGGGAAACTACCAAGCGTTGCAGAAAGCTGCTCTCCTAATAGGAGGGGTGCAAGGGAGAGGGGAATTTTGTTAATCGATGAATCGGTGCTTTAAAGAACAACAAGATGCAAGGATGGCAGATCCACAAAACAAACGTCATCCTAGGTAGCGAAACTGCCATTGCTGCGGTACTTCAACAAAATAATCGCGAGGGGGGAAAAGAAAATACGGAGAACGGGAGAAAAAATGTTGCGGCACCGTTGAGTACGCTTTTCGGTAGGATACGTTACGGGGCAGCCTGGTCTGTTCAACATTCCCCGAACCAGAACAGACAGACAAGGCAAGAAAATGGGGGGGGGGGGGGGGGGACAGCAGCGATGATAATGTAGAGTGACCAAGAAGAGTAACTGAAATATAAGTAGTAGTCGCTTTTGCAAACTCACTAAACGAACGGAGGGGGAATAGTCTCGCACGCTTGCCGACTTAGCAACCGTAGGAAAAAAAAAACAAGGAAGGGGGAGGGGGAAACAGTTTTGTACTGAAGCGGTGTTACAAGACTCGTATCAGTTTCCACCAAAACCTCACTCCGTCAAGAACTATGCTTAGTCCCGGAGTAAAACGTGAGGAAAGGGCGGGGAAGGAGCGCAAGCTCGGAAAAAAAGCGACGGAACGGCCCCTCACATGGGCTCGAGATTTCGCAACTACGCTGCGGGGAAAGTGAGAGGAAGAAAGAAGGGAGGAGCAAAAGAACTGGAGGAAACAAATACCCAGAATATCACAGTTAGACTTCGTGTCTCCTTACGGCCGCGTGCAGTTAACAAACGGGCAAGATGAAAAGAATAAAAAAAAACAATGAGATTGGAAAGAACAACCTGTCTCGTGCGCAGATGGCAGCACCGACTGCTCACCAAACCAAGAAAAAAAAAAAAAAAGCCAAACAAGATGGGAAATCTTTGGGACTCCTAGCAAGAGAGTTAAAAAAAAAATGGAAACGCCGAACATGCGCCAACGCCCGTCCCCTCCACTCGGCGGGCGACACAAAAAAAGGAATGAACTCGAGGGGGATGAAGAGGGGCGGCAAGTCGACCCCCTCCCCCGAAGCAACCAATCCAGCCCGACGCTGGAGCCGCGAGAACACCGGCACTGTTTAAGGCACTAGGGAAGCAACGTCGCAAAGACCAAAAGGGTCGCAAAGCGTGGGCGTCCGGCCCCCGAGCCCGCAAATGCAACTCAACAAAGACAATGGCCCGAGAAAAAACAAAGGGTTTCCCTTCACAAAAGGAGACAAAACTAAAAAAGGGATTAGCTCCCTCCCAAAACAAAGCCCAACACACAATGCAGGTGGAGAGGGTGAAAGAGACGTCCCCGTCGAGCAGACAAACCTTCCCGTCCCAAAGAGAGAGGACCGTCGTGCCAGTCTGTCCATCAGACGATGTAGAGGGTGTTGAGCACAAGCACGTGGTGGTTGTTCTTGGCCAGGGTGACCACGTAGCCCTCCGAGGTGATCTTGAGGCCGCAGCAGCGGCTCACCTTGACGTACGGGCACTCAAACTCCGAGAGGAGCGACCCTTCCCGGGAGAACACCACCACGTGGAAGCGGTTGCCGTGGCTGTCCCCCACCAGGACGTCCCCGGCGTCGCTGATGTCGATGCCGTTGGGGAAGTTGGTCACCCCGTCACAGCCAATCTTGCGCAGGTAGTGGCCCTCCTCGCTGAACACAATCACGCAGTGGCCCTAAAAAGAAGCGAGCCGGCCACATGTTGGCAAAGTTTCTCGTCTCAAACTAAAATGACGATTTTTGTCTAACTCTGACAATTTGCTACCACAAATTGTCACGGTAAAATATATGCAATTAATAAAGAAATAAAGTTTTTAATATTACAGTATTTGCACAAATATCACGCGACCACGAATATAACGCGAGGGCAGGTTTTGATGCCCACAAGAAAATAAAAATATTACTATCAAAACGAGAGCCTAGACCAGGTAAAGTTATCACGGGAGCAAGGCAGAAGGGGAAAGGGAATGGAAATTGAACAAATATCAGTTTAGGTTTTGACTGCACTCATCCTCGCTGCTCAGGTCTTCTCACTGTCGAGTTCGTAATCCACTCAGCAACTTCGCAGATACCCAGCAGCGAGGCACCGTTCGTATACCCTAAAATACCGGGAAAACAACCACTCCAAATTTAGAGATAATTGCAAAAAAATGGGGGGATGGGCGCTTCTCCAGTCATCAATTCTACATATAAATGTACCGTGCATTGTTTCTCAGATCTTACAAATTTGGAAATGGGTGCCTAGTGTGGAACGGTCGAATGCCCAGTATTCTACAGTAGCAGAATACAGTCGCCAACCGTTTTTTCGGACTCCGATATTTCGGACTTGTTCTATATTTCGGACCTAAAGGCGGAACCGTGACTTACCCCATAGAAATGGTGTATATTCACGACCAATGTTTCGGACAGCTTGAAGTTCGAAAGTTTGATTTTTCGGACAAAATCGTCACAAGCGATCAGCGGAAAACACCATCGAGAAGCGGTCATTTTGAATTCTATGTTGGCTGCCAGTGGATTGGCTTGGTTTGGCAGCGCTACTTGAGCACTCCTGAGTCCTACCGCTATGTGACGCTATCAGTGATGGAAGTGTCATTTGACCTTTTGGAGCAGGCCTTGTAGCAGGCGAAATGTTGTTTTGGAGCAGGTAGTGACCCTTTTGGAGCAGGGTCCGGCATATGTTGGCATATTACTTGAAAATGAAATAATGCTGCATTGCTATATAAAGCCCATGTCTAATATTGAAACACGGCGCCTGTCGCCTTTTTAAGATAGGATATAAAAAATTCAACAAAGTAAACACAAAAAAAATCATTTTTTAAAAATAAAGTTTATCTGCTCGTCAGATAAAGAACTACAATAATATGTCACACTGAGTTCTGCTGGTACAGGATATTTAGTTTTATCAGCCTGCACTTCTTTTAAGGAATCTGCAGCAGCATCTAACGACCCTCACTGTTGTGGAATGTTTTAGTTCAGATTAGAGTTGTCTTTCGGGCAGCGGTTTCAAATATTGCGGTATCTGATATTCGCTTCAAAAATTCCGATTCATTTTCGATGTGCTGCCGAAGTCACAATCGGATCACGGCGAGTTAATCCGTTGAGTGCGCTCCCTGGCATGCACCGACGCGCTGCAGAGAAGCGACACTCGCGGAGCAGAAACCACAGTCGCGCGAGTCGCGCAGTGCTTTGTGCTTCGAAAAGGACGGTGAGGCTTTACCAGCACTACATCCAGAGTTTGGTGCAACTCAACTATACTTCATTTCAGCTTCGGTGCGAGCGGTGCGATCGGTGCGAGCGCAGCCGAAGCTACAAGCGCGCGCATGGAGCCCGTAACGGTGCCCACACTGCACGAGCCCACGCGCGAGTCAAGAATGCACAGAGCATTGGGCTCGCGCTAGCTTTGACTTTGCTGGTAGCTAGCGCACGGGAACAGGGCGGGCCAACATTAAAAACATCCACAAACTCGGCTTTTTTTTTTTTTTTTTAAATAGGCTGCTCAGTGGGACGGTTCTTCGCTTACCCTCTGCGGCATTGGTCTTAGATGTTGCTAACGTTGTTCTTTCCAATGATGATGATGATAATGCGCCCTCGCAGTTTCGGTTTGCGTAACAGTTGCGGCGCGCAAAATACCGCGGTACCGCCACGCGCTCTGATAAGACTTCAATTTTTATCTTTTATTGCTACATCTCCTCTCGGCGCAGGCATGGCGCAATTCTTCGGTAAAATGACAATTTGGCGCTACATGTAGCAGGATTGCGTCCTTGGCGCAATTTGGCGCAATTGGCGCAGCACTTCCATCACTGCGCTATGCTAGCCCTTTTTTCCCATTTAGCTGCACGTCATCATCATCATCATTATTATAATTTTGCTTTGTTTTTCGTTCTTTTGCGTCGCCAGTCGCCATTTTGCGCTCGTGGAATTTGCGCCTCTGATCTCGTTCGGACAACACTGGCTTGGATGTCATGGCCCCATTTGTTCTTCTGCTACTCGACCATAATGCTAGAAAAGAAGGCAGCGATTCTCAAGCTAACAGAAAGCTGTCGAACGGAAACGGACGCGTAACCTAAAACAAGGCACGCAGGCGTAGCCTGAACCAAGGCACTATTTACGGATTTTTTAAGCAAGCCCACTTAGAAGTAATAAAGGCAAGTTTTTCAATCTGCCGATTTTTCGGACTGCTCTATTATTCTGACGTTTTTTCGGTCCCAACTAAGTCCGAATAATCGGTCGGCGACTGTACTGCCAAAGAATATAAAAACTAGCTATCGTGGACCCTGAAATCCTTACCTGTCACTAAGCAGCATTAAAAAAAAAAGATTGGAACATGATATCAATTTGAAAGACGAGAAATGATGTTAGCTGGACTTATTATTCCATTTATTTGAAGACGTGATTATGGACTGGTGCGTCTTCACCTGGAGCCACTGCGCTGAAGCCAACAGTGCTCACGCTGAAATCACCATGCCCTAACAGACACGCCAGACTGATTGCTTACATTCGAAGAAGCTGACCAGACACTGGCAGATTTTGCGCTCTTACGTCCTCAAACCACGAGAACAAAGCCTCTTCCCTGTTTGGGTCGAGGCAAGGCCCAAGACTCTTCTGGTCAATCTTGAGATTGCTTTCTTGCATAGCAGTCTTCGATCTCCTTCCTTGCACTTAAGGGGAAACACTGGTCTTGGAGCTTTTTTTCTTAATTTATGACCAAACCTAATGAAACTGCACAAGCTTGTTCAGATTTTTGTGCTGATTTCATATATCTGGTCATTTTCTCAGTCAGTGGAATTGTCCTCAAGATAATTAAAACTTGCCTGCCTTTGTTTGGAGGAAGGGTAGGTAAAAAACGGCTCGACAAAATATCCTTTTTAACACATGGCTAAATATTATGAAGTGTAGATAATACAATGTTGGAAGTACTTTTCAGATAAACCCATTATTAGTGATTTTACCACACATTGAAGTTCAGTGCTCAATGCATGACTAACAAATAATAAAACAAAATATTGAAAAGAAAATTTTCTAGACTTGTATAAAAAATCTGCTCCCAACATTGTATGCTTCCCACATTTAGCTACACATTTCAGGAAAGGTTATATTTCTATCTGCTCTAGATGCTGAGATATCCCTCCTGCATATTTTCAACAAGTCCAAAAATTGTGTTATGTGAAAACAATGTTTTAGAGTCAACTTTAATGCACATTCAGCCTGCATAGACATTATAAATTGATTTATAGCTTGAATATTCATCCACGAAATTGGAAGCGTGGTAGATTCAGAAGAACAACAGCCATCGCCATTTTCAAAAGAATGCAGTTGCAGGAAGTTTTTGGCTCCAAAGACCCATGTCCCCCCTTAAGATGGTAGGTATCGTGCTTGATGCAAGCTCAAAGTCTGCAGTGATCTCTCTTCTTCCGACTGCTGTCCACCACCCTTAAAACGTTCACTTTTGTCTCCAGGGAGACTGCTTTCCACTTGGTTGCCATTTGCAGCTCTGCTACGAGGGGAGTCACTGGCGTGGTTAGCGGTTGGTTTTAGTCTGCACTGGTTTTTGATGTTTCGCATAGAGGCCGCAGCGGTGCCCCCGCTATTATTCGCTCGGTTCAAAGGTGGCACTACCTCCCGAAACGCACATTTTTGCACATTGGGCAATATAAACTTTCGAAATTTTTCGTTTTAAAATTACTTTTTTTTGTATTTTTTCTACTTTTTTAAATAACTTTCACAGTATTTTGTGATGCAAGAAAAGCAGGAACTGCTTCGCTATAACCAATAAATAGCATGTCGGATCTCACGGTTTCGGTATATAACTAGAACTCCCATTCAAATAAAGCATGACCAACCAAACTTTGTGATTAGTTTGCTATATCCGATTATACGCTATATCAGTGTTTGTTACAAAGAGGTTCAACTCTATTTGGGTTCTTTATTCCATGAACTATCTCCCTTTTAATTGTCAGCCCCTAATTCATTGTGATAATATGCTTAAAAAATTCATTACGAGGTTACGATAGCTCCCAAATGGTGGTCAAAACGCAAAATCAAGCCCACCTTCATGCAATCCACGCTCCCGTTTTTTTTTGTTTTTTTTTTGGTCTGACGGCCGTCATTTAGGTTTTGTTTTGGAGCTGAATTTTTTCTCTTCCTTTCGCTGGCTTTCAAAATGGTGTCGTCCACGTGGTTGCAGCGTGGTCGGTTGTTTTCCCTTTCGCAATTGCAAAACCGTGATTGGCCACCAATGCCATTGGTTGCGACACGTGTCCCTACCCTCCCCAGCACTCCCTCCTCCTCTCCATTTCTCCCGTCTGCCGCTCTTGTCTGATACAGCAGCAGTATGCTTGCTTTCTTTTCGTCAGTTCCGCTTTGCTTATCACCATCTCTTAGATTGTTTCAGACACTTTTTCTTCTTAGCAGTTCTGCATCGTTTTTCTGCGTGTTTTTGCGATAGTAAACGATGCCAGCAATGAAGTTAAAGACTGCGCACGCTTTTGGTGCACGGAAGCGCTCTGTGAAGCTTTCTCGGATGGTGAAGTCCGAAACCTCCGCGCGTCATGTCGATGCTTCTAGCAGGGACTTTTCTATGCGATCGGCCGTCGCCAATTCGTTGTCCCAGATCACAGTGCTCCGGAAACGTCCGGAGTGCCAACGTCGACCAGCTCGGCCGCTTTGGACATCGCAG